TTCTACAACAATGCAACGAACTATTCTTGAATTACTGTTCGCAACAATACCCCCCCCCCCCTTTTGGTAGTATACGTTTTATTTTATTTTATTTTTTATTACAGCTTTGTGTTCAAAACGTCGTGCCCGAAGGCTTTGACGGCTGGGTATTTAAAACATTATATCAAAGATCTGCCTTTCCTCAATATCCCATAGTTTATTTTTAAAAGAGTCTAGAGAAGGACAGTCCCACAGTCTTGGAATTTTGTTTAGTAATTTAGTAGCAAATAAGATGGGAGAGCGGTCCAGTGCTCGACTTGTTGGGTGCTCTATGCCCACATGGATCAGTGTTTTGTTCCCTGTTTGGATTTGGGTTCTTTTGATGATTGGACATTGGGGATGGAGTGCCTTTGGGAGTAGTCCATGCATCAGCTTGTAGCCGTAGCACATCACTGAAAAGTTTCTCCTTTGTTTCAATGTGGTCAATTTTAGTTCTTTGTAGTCATCATCAGCGACTGCTTGAGTGTAGGAGTACTGTAGTATGGTCCTAATGGCTCAACGTTGGAGTTGTTCCAAGCGATTAGATTGTGTTACATTGAGAGCAGCCCAGACAGGTGATGCATATTCAAAATGAGGCAGGATATAGCTTTTGTACAGTCTTGTTAATAGGGCCGTGTCATGAACAGAGAGGGACAGTCTGCGGAGGAGGAACAGTTGAGAGTCAACTTGTTTGTCAAATTTGAGGTCATTTGTGAACCAGAATCATACTATATGTTTAACAATTTTCAATAATATTTACCAACTTTACTATAACCAAACACACATATATATTAAGCCTTCAATACTACTATTCCATGCGTTCTGGGTTTAATTTCATGTACTAGTGTACAGCCAGAGGTTTGCTTGAACTCATTAGTGTCATCTTTAAGTGTATATTACATTCACTCAACTAAAGCACTTACTGTTCTGACTGACAGTTCCCCTTTAGGGAAGCCCAGATAATAATTCTCCAGTTCATGTGTGTCAACATCTCATCTGTGACAGTCTACAAACTCCTGTATATAAGGATGACCACTTCCCACCATGCGCCACAGGATTTTATGTAATCATTCAAAATCATCCTACAAAACCGTTATATGATTTGCCTACAGCGTATAGTGGAGACAGGACATTCGTTTGTGGCAATACTTTACAAGCCGATCCCTCTCACACGCTTTGCTTTCATGCGTTCTGCTCCTTAAGTGTGTTTATAGTGCACACACCCTCAGCGCCGCGGCCGTTAACTGCTTCTGACTGTTGTGACAGACAGAATGACGGAAAGACAACAGGCAGCAACACAAGAGTTGATCAAGGAAGTAAGCGTTGCTCTTCATGTCTTGAGGGTATGTTTTTGTTTGTGTAATAGAAACAGCAGTTGAAATGGGACACTGTTTTCCTAACAGTGCATGTTTACAAAAACCTTTTCTTTTCCTATTTTATGTGGCCAAATCTTTGAATATTTCAAGTACATTTGTGCTTGAAAATGTACACACCCAGCCAGTGATGTTATTGTTTTGACCCTATTTAGGAGACCACGAATGATGACAGTGGCTCAGTTGGTAGAGCATTGGCCTTAGAGCCTGAAGGTCTTGTGGGTTCAAGCCCACCACAAGACCTACTTCACAACTCCCACTGATGACTGCTGTCGATGTGTCCTTGGGTAAGACACTCAACCCCACTTTGTCTGAAGCCCCTGCTGAATAATCAAGACTACCTGCAGGAGGATCAGAGTCACTGAAACAGGATGTGTGTTATCATTTATAATCTCAATTCAAGAATCAATCAAACAAGCAAAATGTTGTGTTTCTTTGCAAAACACTGTGAGCCCTGAACCACTTTGAGCAACAGAACAAAACAGCGATTTTTGTACAGTACGTCACGTGACTTCTCCTGTCGTCTCCCCTAGGACCCTCCCTGACGCTCTACTCTATATTTTGAGTTCCTTATACCCCAGAGAAGCAGAGGATAACAAGTTTTCGGCTCGCTCTGCACTTTATGTGGTTTGTTTCTACTAAAACATTTATTCTTTCAGATGTTTCTCTAACAGCAGCAGAATGTCAACATACTTTCATGAGCGAGAGAATACGATACGATAATATTATGTATACAACATCTTTTTCATTCTACAAACGATTCTGTCTGACACTACATACCAGACCACAGAGAGGGGAGGGCTTTTGTGACACAGCCGATTCCATTGTCACATTTAGAAACAGTATTTATACAATAACAACTGTTATTTTAACAAACATGTATTTTTATTAAATGTTTAAATTGCAGGAGTTAAAGCCTTAAAGCACTATTCTTTGAACTAAATAATACATGCTCTTTACAAGTCCAGTTCTAAGATCTAAAGCTATGGAGCCACCAAAATGGCTAACCTCTATCCTACTTTGTAACTTGGATGGACTATTGTCAGCGTGGGTTTCCCCCAGGAGCAGGACTTTGATACTGGGCCAAGTTCAGTTAGTTTGAAGTAGATAATACACTGCCACACCTTCGAAACAAGGAGTCCACCGCCGAGCAGTAGGCAAATTATACAGGAAGGAAAATAATTAGGCTTTTACAGGTTGATCTAAAGAAGAGGTTCTTTGATGTGAGACAGAAGGAGTGTGTTAAACCATAAAAGAGGTAAGGGAAAACAAATTATGCAACTATGATGTTTAATTATTATTGAATAATGATCATTTCAATTCAATGTATTCTTGTATAGCCTTGAATGACAGTAGTTGTCTCGGAGGACTTAACCAAACCTTTGAATTCGCCAACACAGATCAGAGAATCAAACAGTTCAAACACAAGAAATGAAACAGAAAACACATTGAGCCATTGGTCCATAAGCGGCGGATGATCAATATCCATAAATGCTGATAAATGTCCGTAAATGTTGTTTATGATATTGCTTTTGGTTTTATTATATATTCAATGTGTATATTTTGTGTACATTATTTGCATTTACTACAGAAAGATCACAAAACAAAGGTTTTATACATACAATTACAGTATTAGAATAGGTGGATGATAGTTGAGTGGCTGCATAAGATGGAAGGATTGAATGCTTAAGATTATATTTTTGAGAGACATAGACAGAAGGTGATGGAACAAGGAGAAGAAATCATTTACCTCGGAGTGGCAGCGACAGAGCGTCTGCACACCAAAGGTCAGCGGGTGATGTGCTGTTGTGAAGTTGTGTCATTGCGGAAAACACCTCATCCAACTTGTCTACGTGAATATGTCTACACACAAGTCAGGGCAAAAAGGGTTACTCGTGATTTTTATCTTGATCTGATACCAAGCCATACTTTGGAATTTGGATTGGGGTGTACTTTGCTTTATGGAGTCCTGGATCTACACAGCCTTTGTCCTGATTCTACAACCTCAGTCCTGGTTCTACAACCAGAGTCTGGGATCTAAAGCCATAGTCCTAGTCCTGGATCTGCAGCTTCAGTCCAGGACTGAGTCGTTCAGTCCTGTCAGTCCAAATATGAATTTATAGTAAGTATTTACTTCTGTCCCTGTCTATCCCTGATCCAAACATATTGTTTTATGCAATGGTTGTGTGAGATGTGCGTTGCATGAAAAGTAAAACATCCATATACTATTTTTGTTCATCACCAAAATTCTGCTTGTGTTTTGAAGATCCATCCATTGTGTGTATGATCTGAATTTCAAATCTTCTCCCAACACAAATTAGAACTCAGAAGTCATCAGCTTCTGCAGCTCTGGTTTATAACAAAAAACAGTGCTTTGTGCCTCCACATGGTGCACCAGTGTGAATTTCCATGTCTTGCTTTAGTCAAATGTTTGATGGAAGTGATGTGAAAGTAGACAGATGGAGTTGGCAGCCAGACAACAGACTGCGGCGTCTGCTCCTCTGCATATCCCATGATGCACTTCTTCTCCAGGATCTCCAAGACTCACTCTTTATTTTTCATTTATTGCCTCCACTTCATCCTCTCAGCCCGAATTTCTCCTCAGAAGTAGATATTGCGTTTCTTTGCTCTTTCTTAGCCCGATTTTAATGTGAGCTGCCCCATAAATCCCGGACGCCCCTGTTTCACCCCGCTCTTCTATTCTTCTCCCTAGTGTTTCTATGGCCTCGCACTAACGCAAGCCTTCATTAAATGTCAATTATACACCAGAGACCACACAGCGCAGGCCTCGGACACAATGATTCCTGACCCCCTGAGGTCATCAGCTCATGGGCTTTCAGTGCTCTGCTAAAGCCGCAGTCTGTCCACTCTCCCACACTCCAACACAAATATCTAAATGTTCTTATTCAGATCTCTATAAAAATCTTTGGATACCATTCAACCATTCACCAAGAGGAGTATAACGTTTGTATCTACAGGTCACCAATGCTCATGAATATTTCTGTGCTTTCTGACTTCTTTCCCTATTTTTGCCCGCGTTTACTTTGTTAGTTGAGGCATTAAAGCCGCAGTACTAAACTTTTTTTCTTTCATAATCAATAAAAAAAATGCGCCTAAATGAGTCTTGTGAAAGTAAAAGGTTGTGAATAAATCAGCCTACTCCTTGCTGTTTATTAAAGAAAAAATGTCATATTTTGCATAGTTGGAGAACTTTTTGACTCCTTCGGCTGAAAGCCCATTGACTAAGTGAAATTGGCTTATTTTCACCTTTCTGTCCAAAAATGCTGGTGTAAAGATGTGACACAGACCAAAAATACTTGCATATAAAAATTAGCTATGTTTTATACTCTATTATACAATTAATTTTGTTGTGGTTTGTAAGTTAGGTACCCCAGCTTTAAGTTATTAGTTACTTCAAGTTACTATAGTTAAGGTTTGTATAGCTTATATATAACAACTTATCTATACAGTATTTCAAACAATGTTAGCATAATCAACAAATGCCAAACGCCCCAGACACCGTGGAATTGGTGAGAATAGTTTGACACCACATCTGTGTGCGTCCCGGCTGGATGCGTGGGTCTTGTAGCGCACAGTGGAAGTGGACAGATGGTGCGTTTTGGTTTCGGAGGGTTGAAGGGGTGAGTGTAGGGGGAAGAGGGGGGTAAACCACATGTTGAGAATCTCCATTCAGACCAGCTGTGCGGCGCGGACATGCTTGCAGCTCTAAATAAACCTGTGGCAGCGCCCTGTTTGGGAGTGTGGGAGATTTAACACAGGTTGTCACATATTTCCTCTCATCCTTTGTGTGTCAGTACTGTACATTACAACATATAGTCGGAGCGCACAACAGCAGTCTGATTGATTGTCTATTTAGTCTGGCCTTGTAAAAAGCTTGTTCTTCTTTCATTCTGGAATAATTAGAGACTGGGAATGGCATAATGTGGTCATAAGAACTTTGCCCTTGACCAAGACACAAAAGCTACATTAAAGCTGAGGTACCTAACTTTCAAACTGCAAAAATTGAACTGTAAAATTATCCGCAAAACTCGTTCCTGGTTAACAGTTGTAACACAATTTTTCCCATGCTTGCCTATATTTTTGGCCTCGGTTGCACCTTGTAATCAGACATAATAATACAAAAATATATCAGTCCAAAGTCCAAAGCATCAAATAGTAACTCGGGGGGTACTTTCTTACAAGCATGAAAAAAATTACGTTGTATTTTTACAGAGCTGTTGGGACAAAACACACGGGTTATTTAGGAAACCAAAATATTCGGTTTCTCCAGCTTTGAGGAATGATTGTTTATGTTTTACCGTATTTTGAGAGGATGCAAAAAAATACACATTTGTGAATCATTGTATACATAGTGCAATTCCTGTGAAGAGCCGAGGTGAAAGGAGGTGCTTCTTCAGCCATAAAAGAGACTGTGTGCCATATGGTTCCCACTTAAATATACATCAGTCACCGAAGCTCAACACATGGACAATATAATAGAATTTAAATAAGATGTTGATCGCTCTCCACTTGAACACATTCATTCTTTTGAAGTGTGAACTTTATTCATAAAAATTAACAACTCATTTGCGAAAAACACATAGACAAATTTCCCACATATATAAAAAAGTAGGCAAAAGGCAGGGCAAGGTAAGGCAAGTGTATTTGTACAGCACAGTTCATACACAAGGCATCTCCAAGTGCTTAACGGTACAAAATAACCAAAAATAATCACAGTAAATTAAAAATAGTGAAAATGAATCCTTCAGTTGTATGCACAGCTAAATAGTACTGTTTTACCTAGCTTTGAACAATGTAAGTGTAGAAGCCTGTCTCATATTTTCAAGAAGACTTGAAATATGATTTAGCATAAATCAGAGACGCTGCCTACCCATGTTTAGTTCTGCTAATAAAGTAATATATTGTAAAGCAGGAGTTGCCTCTGATTAACCAAGCAAATATACAGCAAATATATATAGAGAGATGACACCTTATGGATGATACATGTGTCATGAAGTCGCAGAAGAGGTCAAACATTGAAAAATCACAGTTTCATTTAAAATTAAATTGCTTTACAAAATTTATTTCTAGTAAAGCCCACAATAGCTAACTTTCAGACAACATACATACATCCATCCATCCATCCATTTTCTTCCCCTTAATCCATTACTGGGTCGGGGCGGTGGCAGTCAGAGCTGCACCCAATTCACAGCGCACCAGCCCCTCACTGATCCTCCTGCAGGTGGTGAGTCCACACAGGCCTTGATCTTTCAGCGGGGGCTTCAGGCAAAGTTGGGTTAAGTGTCTTGCCCAAGGACACAGCGACAGCAGACATAAGTAGGAGTCGTGAAATAGGTCTTGTGGTGGGCTCCATCTCTCCACATACAACCATAATCTACTTCAGACATTTGTCCAAGGATAATGGCTTAACCGATGTCCATAAATGTCATTCTTTGTCCTTGGACCCTCCTTCTTTGTCAAGCGAAGGATGGGGAGGCCAGATTCCAGGTTCTCGTCAAGCCTCGATGAAACAGACAATGGTACAATGGGTGAATAGCAATGAACAGACTACAGGTGAGGTCATTTTTTAGGATGCAAGGAATCTCCATATGCAATAATCAAAACACTTCTCACTCCTCAGACAAGGGGGTTTACTTTGGATCAAGTTTAGTAAGTAAGTAAGTAAGTAAGGTTTATTTATATACCAATTAGATAAATCTAGTAGTAAAGTATGAATCATTTTGAAGATTATGAATAAGTGTGTCATTGTCCAGGTGTAATTCTGCTGGACCTGTACTCACCCTTCACCTGCTGCACCTGGTACCCCTTGTAAGTACTTTTCTCTTATTAGTCTGGGGATACTGGGCATTCATCAACGGTGTGAATCTTTATTTGCATAGAGAACACAGGTTACTGCTCCTGAGACTGCACGGCTGATCAATCAATCACAATAGCACCTTCCAACAGCCCAAAAAGGTGCACGCCAGAGTGGCAGTAAAAGCAAAATTTAAAACAACAGTAGAAATAAAACAACAATTTAGACTACCCTACTGGACGATCGGGCACACCTGTAAAAGCAACATTTTAAGAGAAAAAAGTCAACTCTGGCCACGTACAGACTGCACTTGAATGCAAGTTCCAGGTTTTCATATTGTAATGTGGCAGAAAGAATACTGTTTTAACTGGTCACGAGAGGGTTTAAGAAGAGGTGTTAAACAGCTTAACCGTTAGCTTCCAATCCGGTATTCATTGACCAGTCTATTTGGAAAATAAATAAGTGTCACAGCTACAAAAACTTGATTGGTTCATAAACTCTGCTCTGACAACCCTGCCACAATAATGTAAGTCACAGTGCTCAAATAAAAAAAAAGTAGCATCTCACTGTCCAGAAATCATAGTATTTGTCAAAAAGCATGTTTTCAGGAGGAATGATGGATTCAGGGTTTGGAAGAAAGGTTTATATCAACTTAATGTGTAATATCCCCACTGTGGGACTTAAAAAGGCATTCATTCATTTCATGTCAACAATGAGACTTGAAAATTAAAGAATGAGGCACTCATTATCTTTTTTCTAATTGGATAATCATCTGATGATCTAAAACCATGGTTTAAAAAAGAATGGATTGCTGGCTGGTTTTGTAAATATTCACCATTACAATATCTGTCAGTAAAGGTGGTATATGGTAAACGATAGTAAATCTGCAATGAAAACTTGTATTGTTTTTGTTGATCGGTATCACAGTGTCAGTTGTTTTTTTATTCTTTTATTTCCAGTGTATGTGTATTTTATATTACATTGTATCGTGCTCTTTTTCTGTCGGTGCACACAGAGTACCTTTTTTGCGAATGTATTCCAATGTCGTTTTTATACTGCACATGGCTAATAAAAATGAATCATGAATCATGACAAATCGTTCACAAATCATTCCTAGTCCATCATATGGGTCATTGTGAGCTTGCTTACTTACTTTAGCCAGCTACTCCGATGCATCAGGACAAAAATACGAAAGATCACGGTCCTATTAACGTACATTACATTTTTAATTACTCCCCTATGTGACACATTCACCTGAGGGCTTGCTATTTGTGTAGATGGTAAAGCAAAATAAAACCATGGAACTCTACCTAAAGCCATGTTGCAATACTTGTCTGCATGTTGCAACATAAAGAGGGCACACTAGGTCCCACATGAACTATAGATGCGAGCCGCAGATACTGGCTCGATCACACATGAGCCCCACCACTGGGAGCCTGAAATACAGGGGCACGCGCTCAAACCCCCGGCACAGCACTTTTCTCCTCTCCCCTTCTAAACCTGGAATACACTCCCAGATTACTAATGCATCTCCCTGTCAGAGAGGGGCTGAAAATAGTGAGCACTGACCCAGATAATCAGAAGCAGGATGACCCCCAACTAAGGTGAGTGCAACCGTTTGGTCCGGAAGCACAGTACATCCCATCACAGACGCACAGCGAGAAAGAAATTAAGAAATTGGCAAACATTTTTCTGTTATATGTTTCAACTAAAAGTTAAAAAAGCTATTCAAAATATTCCTTTATGCATGCATTTGATATGATAGTATTTTATCCTTCTGGTAAGGTTTTTATTCGGATTGAGCAAGGCACTTCCCTCACTCTGGTAATGCGGTGCGTGATTGATGCTGGTCAATGGGATATTATTGGCACAGATTTTTGCTTCAGTCCATTGACATCCACCCAAGGGCAGCCGCTACAGGCCATGGATAGCCTGTAGCGGCTACCAATGTCTACCAATTAGTTTAGTTGAGTTTTTTTTTTTTTTTTAAGATAATACTGATAATATTATACATTATTGGTCCTAGTACAGAGCCTTGGGGAACTCCTTTTGCGAAGCTCTTTTCATCTAAAACTACATACTGTACCTTGTTCTTATTTACTGTACGTACTATTATCTGCCACCACGATTACGTCTCAGCCCATCATGAGCAAGACTTCTACCAGAATACCTTGTTTCTGCGTTTTGTTGGTCTCCTGGTCTGTTTGGGGGTTGTTCTATTTTTATATGTCATTGCTGCATGTGTATTTTTCAAAGGAAATGCGTAGCTTAATGCAGCTCTCAAGTGACTTTTAACAATTTTACCAGAAGATGCATTTCTTTTGGAATGGATCAAACAAAGTAAAACAATCTTCAGAGCTGATTTAAACTATGAAAATAGAATACAATGCTGTTTCTGTTTTTTTTATGCAGAGGGGTGGCCTTCTTCCACTTCGTACCAGCCTATCTACACATCTTTGCTTGCCATCCTGTCATCTTTAATAATCTAATCAGCCAAGGTCCTAAGGTCATGTCTTCTCTTTGCCATCCCTTTCCCACCGCATGAATGCCGGGCTCTCCCTATCTGTTTGTCCAGCTATAACCTGTTTAGCCCAAACCTTCTGCAGCGTGTCAAGGGCTGACATGGGAGACTGATGGTGAAGTTTAGCCAACTCGTTGACCCAAGTCCAGCCTCTATCCCTCTGTCCTCTCTCCCTGTGTCCTTTCTAGCCCCCTCAGGTCACCACCTCTGCCCCCCGGACCCCTCTGTTGTCCAGTGCTGTCCACCCACTGCTCTCACTCAAAGGAGGTAGAGGTTAATGGGTGAAGCGGTGAAGGTGAAAACCCCAGCTCTTCTCCAATGGGGCCTGTTTGTGTTTGTTCAGGATGGACATTATTCGGGACCCGGATCAAGCAGCCCAAGTTCAGCTCCAAGACTCACTGGCCCCGCCCTGCCTCTGTGTTGGCTCTGCGGTGTCTCGTGGGACAGGCACCCCCTTGGCTGGGTGTCTTCCCTTTTTTTGGCAAGGTATTTGTTTATACTGCTTTCAATCCGGTCTCCTTTGTAGGGGCTCATAACCACAGATGGAAAACACAGCCATGAAAGATGCTAATCAATGTGGGTGAAATATTATTAAAGGATGGCGTGGTACATAAATTGAGCTGTTGAATCAAAGCTGGACAACCCTATTATTTTTGACCCCCCCCCCCCCCCCCCCAAAAAGTATACCCTAACCCTGACCCTTTATTAATTTCTTCCACTATTTAGGCATATAAATAAAACCAACGGCATGGCTATTAGAAGAAAATAATTATGACACAAATATCTACTTTCTTTATATTTCAGTACAAACGTGCAGGTGAGAAACAGATGTATCCCTGAAATTAAAATATAAGAGAAAAAAATATATATACAGTATATATATTTAAAAAATAAAAATGATGGAAGAAAAATCTAGGGAAACGTTTCGAAAGTGCACCTACATTATAGAAAACGTATAATACTGTTTATAGTTTTAAAAAAAAGTTAATTTCAACCGCTTTAAGTAGAGGAAATTTCATGTTGACTTCTACGGAATCCTTTTGGTATCCCTGATGGACATACCAACCTGTTGTTGATAGCATTTGTAATATATGCAGCGGTCTCAAATTTGCCACTGCTAATAAGCATATCGCCCCAGACTACTATTTTCTCATCTTTTATCTAATCTATAATCTTCTATCTGATCTTGTCGCTTCTCATTCAGCCTTGCCCATATACACATGCTGCAGTGGTGTCCTGAAACGGGCCCGTCCCGTCTCTGCCCCCGGGGGCCCTCCTCGCTGGCCCCGTGGGTAAATGGCCATTGTGCGGTGCCACTGATCCCTGACAAGGCCATATTGTGGCGCGGTGGGGTGTCAGCGGCACAAAGCCAGCCGGGGTTGCCACATTGTCTCACACTCCAAATGAAGAAGTCGCTTTGCTCTGCCTTGAAATACGGCGGCGAGCGGGAGGATGCGCCGGAGGACGAGACGAAAGAAGGAGAAGGCGAGAAAGAGGGGGTCATTGTCTAAAGTAAGGGTTCTGTGTGTTATTCATTAATGCACCCGCACTCTACTCATTTATACCCAAATCCCCCAAGCTATTGCAAGAGGCACATCCACTTTTGGCTGCCTTCTTTGAGTGCTCATGTGTGGTGAGGGCTCAGACATACACACATGTTGGATGTGGTTTTTGGGACAAAGTGGATTCCTGAGTTTGCCTTAAACTGACCAATCTGTCAAGTCACAAGTAGAATCAAAGTCAAAACTGTCATTAAAGTCCTCCACAGATGACTGAGTCCGCTAATAGCTGCAAAGCAATGCACTCAAACCTAGACAGAGAGCTCTTGGTCGGAGTCAAAGTCAAAGGTATTATTAGAAAATACAGTATGTTATAATTTCTTCTCTATTATGCTAAAGATAGGGACTTTATACGTACTTCTCATGCTAATGTCAGAGATGTTATACTTAATTCTTGCCTCTTCATTATGCTAAAGTTGGAGATTTTAGATTTTATTCCTTATTTGGCTCATAGCTAGAGATTTTATACATCTTATAGGATCTTAATCTTAATTTACCTGCCATAGAAGCACAGCTGATTATTTCTATTTTCATGTATCAGAAAAAAAATCCTGGAGTTGTGTTTACTTCTTCCCTGTTAGAGTCATTCTTTCCCAGGTTTGTCGTCGTTGCACTTGCCCAGACGTTGGCAGGTGATCATGACCTTTGACAGCAGGTCGCTCCAGATGTGCTGATATGAGCGTAGATACACATAGATAACATGTCTCTAACTTAAACACTGTCACTGATCCATGAGTGATCGCCAAGAGACGTGCCCAGTGCTGCATTTCGCCTTCACTCGACAAGTCAATATTGCCTTATCAGTTCTAATGAGCGTGAGTTTCTTGGTGGTAGCCCTGTCACTTTGACTTTGTGTTCACTAACATTACTACTGATACAATCCAATACAACTATTGGAGTGTATGAGCCAAACAAGCCAGATATAGCATATTCTTCTCTTAGATATTTTTTTTTTTTTTTTTATTAACTTTATTACATTTTAATACAATTACAAGAATGAAAACATAAGAGAAAGAAATAAAACAAAATTATATTCGAAATCTAATATATACGGTTTACAAATACAGTAGGTGTTAAGGTGGGAGGGGTTGGGGGGGAGGGGGAGAGTAAAAAAAATAAAATAAAATTATTCGGGTTGCGTTTTTTATTGTTTCAGTTCAGCCTTGGTTTGCGCGGAGTTTCTGTATATGTATGTGAATGTGTATGCAATGCAGGGGTGCATAGGTGCTATGTCGAATGTGGTCAAATGAATCTATATATTTTACAAAAAATAAATAAAATAATAATAATAAAAAAAATACATAAAAAAATAAAAAAAAAGGGGTTTATATATATACACATCATCATCGCTATCACTATTATCATCGTCATTGCCACAATCATTACCCATTGCTAATTTTATCTTGCTGGGCTTTGGTGAAAAATAATAATAGTAGAATAAATGACAATAATAATAAATCAATAATTAATATTAACAAAAATAAACAAACAAATCATAATAATAATGAAAAGCAGAGCGTGCTGCGAGACGGGCTCACTCAACAGGCCCTGCTTGTCCTCTTGTCAGTCCTGTGAGGTGCATTAAAAAAACAAGAAATTTGTGGGGCCGATGAGGTGGGAGATACCCCACATCGGGCCCACTTCTTGTCTGCCCTGTTGTTCTCTATGTTATGTATATTTGATTTGTTCATTTATTTTATAAACACAACGTTATATATATTCTTTTTCTTTCCTTCTTTCCTCTCTTTTCCAGTACCTGATTGTAATCTTGGATCTAATGTGTATAGTTTGTTCAGATATCCAATTTAAGTGAGAGAGGAAATGTAAATAATATTAATTATAATAACAATTATAATAACAATTATAATAACAATTATAATAACAATTATAATAACAATAATGACAATAACAACAACAGCAACGTGAGGAAGTAAGTAAACAAATAAATAAATATTTGGAAATAAATGATCCTAAATTCATATATAAATAGTAATAGTAACTGATTTTAACTTATCTATTTGGAGAGTGTGTGCGAGAGTGTATGTATGCGTGCATGTGTGTGCAGTTGTGTATGTGCATCTGTTTATATGTGAAGGATTTATAAGAATGTGAGTGGCACTTTTAGTCTCTTTGGTATATTAATTTGTGGTTGGGTGTTGGGGATTAAATTGATGTTGAGAAATTATTGGGGGTTGATGTCAAAATGACTAATGAATGGTGACCAGGAGTATGTAAAGGAAGTCATGTCATCATCATGGCGAGCTGCTATTTCAGAGGATGTTATGTATTGAGTAAGAGAGTTGGTCCAATGATTGATGTTGATTGTGTGTTTTGTTTTCCAGTTTTGGAGTATTATTTTCTTGGCGACAGTTAGGGATGTTAGTAGACTGTTCTTATGTCTAGGCAGTATTGTTGTTGTTGAAGTGAGACCTAGTAAACAAAGCGAGGGAAGTAAAGGGACTCTGCAGCTCAGGATGTGTGAGAGTTCTTGTGTGATAGTGTTCCAAAAAGCCTGTACAGGAGTGCATTCCCAAAGTGCATGTAGGTAGGTATCAGTGGCCCCCATGGTACATTGTGAACAGATGGCTGTATCTGCTAGTCCCATTTTATGCATCCTGTGTTGTGTGATGTGTGACCTGTGTATGACTTTATATTGGATTAATTGCAGATTGGTGTTGGGTGTCATAGAAAAGATGTTTTTACAAGCTTCTGTCCAGTGTTCCTGTGTGAGTTCTGTATTAAGATCTATGTTCCATTTTTCTGTAGGTAAATGTATTGTATCAGAGTTGAAATGTCGGTATAATTTTGAGGTGAGTTTTTTAATTTCTTTAATGTTCTTTATGTTTTCGAATAGTTGGGATGGGTTTAATGTGTTATAATTTATGTTAATTTTATTTTTAATTACAGATTTAATTTGTAGGTATTGAAAAATATTATTGCTGTCAAGTTGATATTGTTCTCTGAGCTGCGTGAATGTTATGAATTTATTGTTTTTGAATAAGTGGCGTAGGTGAGTGATGCCCTTTTGTTCCCACATGTGGTAGTGAAGAGGTTTTGTATTAATTGTAAAATCCGGATTGTGCCATATGGGAGTGTATTTACAGGGTGATGTGGAGGAGTTAGTTAGTTTTAATGTTTTCCACCAGGCTGTCAGAGTAGTTGAAATGACTGTGCTTTTAAAACAGGGGTGTTTTTTCAGTGTTGTATTTAAAGAAGGTATATCTGCCAGAGGAAGGTGAGTGAAGTATGACTGTTCCAATTGAATCCATGTATTGTTGTGTGATGGTTTTGTCCACTTAACTAGATACTGTAATTGATTGGCCAGAAAGTAGTGGATGAAATGTGGCGCTTCTAGTCCGCCTTGAGCTTTGTTTTTTCGTAAAGTGGTGAGTTTTATTCTAGCTTTTTTGTTTTTCCAATAAAACTTTGTGCACATGGAGTTGAGTTTATTGAACCATTTGTCGGGAGGGGTTACTGGGATGTTAGAGAATAAATAATTTAGTTTTGGGAGTATTTTCATTTTGACAGATGCTATTCGTCCAATGAGTGTAAGTGGTAAATTGGTCCAGCGTTCCAGATCATCTTCTATTGTTTTGAGTATTGGGTTATGATTAAGTGAAAACAACTCTGTCAGCCTGGAGGAAACGGTTATACCCAAATACTTGATATTACCAGTGTGCACTTCAGGAAATGAATCCTGAGCTGCTGAGTCCCAAGCATTGTCTGAAAGGGGGAGAATTATTGATTTATTCCAGTTAATACTATAGTCTGACATCGATGAGTATGTGGTAATTATTTTAAATGTTTCTTGTAGTGATTCTTGTGGAGTTTGTAGATAGAGGAGAATGTCATCTGCGTATAAACTAATTTTGTGTTGTGTACCTGAGACGTTGATTCCTTTTATGCTGTTGGTTTGCCGTATTGCAGTTGCAAGGGGTTCTAAAAATAAAGCAAAGAGAGAGGGAGAGAGTGGACATCCTTGCCGTGTGCCCCTATGCAGTGTGAATGTGGAAGAGATAATACCATTAGTAGTGACAGTGGCCTTTGGTGATGTGTATAGTACATTGATCCAGTGGATGAATGACTCCCCGAAGCCAAATTGCCGAAGTGTATAGAATAGAAATGTCCAATTTACCTTGTCGAATGCCTTTTCTGCATCGAGTGAAGTTATGATCGTATCGGTATTTGATTGTTGTGAGATGTTTAATGAGATTGAATAATCTACGAAGATTGTCAGATGAATTTCTATTTTTGATGAATCCTGTCTGGTCAGGGTTTATTAATAGTGGAGTAACCTTTTCTAGTCTGGAGGCAAGTGCTTTTGTGATAATTTTTAAATCTGTGTTAAGTAGTGAGAGGGGTCTGTAACTAGTGGGTTGAGTTGGGTCTTTGTCTGGTTTAAGTAACAAGGTTATAGCTGCAGTGTTCATGTGAGATGGGATTTGAGATGTGTTCTTTATTTCAATAACAGCACGGATGAGGAGTGGGGATAATGTAGACCAGAAGTGTTTATAGAATTCAGGAGGATAACCATCAGGACCGGGGGCTTTATTATTTTGCATCTGAAGAAGAGCTTTATGTAGCTCATGTAAAGTTAGAGGGGAATCTAAGAAGTTTACCATATCTGTAGGAAGTTGTGGTAGTGTAAAGGTTTTGAAGAATGATTGCATCTCAATTGGATTAGGTCTATTTCCTGAAGAGTACAGTTTTTCATAAAATAACCGGAATGTATTATTTATTTCATATTGATCATGAGTGAGCTGCTGTTCTGAGGTTTGTATTGATACTATCATTGATTTATCTTTTTTGCGTTGTAATAAGTTTGAGAGATATTTCCCAGATATATTATTTTTTTCTACTAGTTCGAACTTGAGTTGTTGCAACATGAAGTTGTTTTTTTCTTGCAAAAAGTTGTCCAATTGCAATTGAACATTTTTTATTTCGTTTTCATT